ACACACACACACACACACACACATATATATATATATACAGTTGAAGTCAGAATTATTAGCCCCCTTGAATTATTAGACCGCTTGTTTATTTTTCCCCCAATTTGTGTTTAACGGAGAGAAGATTTTTACAGCACATTTATAAACATAAAAGTTTTATTAACTCATTTTTAATAATGAATTAATTTTATCTTTGCCATGATGACAGTAAATAATATTTTACTATATATTCTTCAAGACACTTCTATACAGCTTAAAGTGACATTTAAAGGCTTCACCAGGTTGATTAGGTTAACTAGGCAGGTTAGGGTAATTAGGCAAGTTATTGTATAAAAATGGTTTAATCTGTAGACTATCGAGAAAACTATTAGCTTTAAGGGGCTAATCATTTTGTTCTTAAAATAGTGTTTAAAAAATTAAAAACTGCTTTTATTCTAGACGAAATAAAACAAATCAGACTTTCCCCAGAAGGAAAAATATTATCAGACATACTGTAAAAATTTCCTTGCTCTGTTAAATGTAATTTAGGAATTATTTAAAAAAGAAGAAAAAATTTAAAGGGGGCTAATAATTCTGACTTCAACTATATATATATATATATATATATATATATATATATATATGCAGAGATCAACATCCCATAATGCAATTTATAACTGTAAATAAACAGAAATCACTTGTAAAAATACGAAAAGTGTTAATTAACAGATATTTTGTTACAGTATAGTTTAAACCAACCCGACGTCACTGCCTCGTGGTTGCTCAGATAGATCATTGGTAATGCCTTTTCACCCTTATTCTTTACTCGTGACAGAATCCAGCAGAACAGGACGCTTGGCAAACAAAAACTTGGCAAAATGTTCCAGTAGCCCACTTGTTGTGATCCCTGCGACGAAAAGATACTTACAGTAGTTGCAACATTGAGAGTTTGTCATTACTATTCTTCCGGAATTATTAGCCCCCCTGTATACGTTTCTCCAATGTCTGTTTAATAGAAAGAAACATTTCTAAACATAATAGTTTTAATAACTCATCTCTAATAACTGATTTCTTTGCCATAATGACAGTAAATAATATTTGACTAGATATTTTTTCTAGATACTAGTATTCAGTTTAAAGTGACATTTAAAGGCTTAATTAGGTTAATTAGGCAAGTCATTTTAAAACAGTGTTTTTTTTCTTTAGACAATCAAAAAATATATTGCTTAAGGGGGCTAATAATATTGACTTAAAATTGTTTTAATAACTGCTTTTATTCTAGCCGAAATAAAACAAATAAGACTTTTTCCAGAAGAAAAAATATTATAGAAAATACTGTGAAAAATTCCCCGCTCTGTTAAACATCATTAGGGAAATATGCGAATAATTTTGACTTTAACTGTATATATAGCTACCCAATAGAGAGAGAAAGAGTGCTGGATCCAGCCCAACAGATCCCTATCGCAAAACAATCACTGCCAAAACAATGGCGTGCAAGTGCAGGATAATGGTGCCAAGATTTTGAGTCCCATCTTTGACTTCACCGCTGTTCGTTTGCATTAAAAATTGATAGTTCACCCAAAAAAATGTATTTACTCACCCTTAAGTGGTTGTAAAACTTTATGAGTTTCCTTCTTCTGTTGAACACTTTGAAGAAAGCTAAAAAGCTGTAACCATTGACTTCAACAGTAAGAAAAACATCTTTTCATCTTTTTGTCAAAATATCTTCTTTTATGTTCAGCAAAAGAAAGTAAAACAGGTTTGAAACAAGTAAAAGATGAGTAAATGATGGCAGAATTTTAAGTTCTGGGTGAACTATTCCTTTAGAATATAGTTTTATAGATGTTAGTACCAAGATGTTAGTCTATAGGATATCTAAAAGCTAGTGTGCTTTATAACAAGTGACAAAATTTGCATTTTCTATATAAAAAAAAAAAAAAAAAAAATATATATATATATATATATATATATATATATATATATATATATATATATATATATATATATATATATATATATATATATATATATATATGTATATATACAACGCATCCATGGCTTGGTGTTTGACACTTCCACCTTAATGGATGAACAGTTTTATTCATGTCAGCCCATACTTTAGTTTCTCATCAAATCTTCTGACCAATCAAATGCTCTCTAGTATCTGACATGCCCCGCCCCCTTCTTCTCATTTGCTTTTCATTTGATGCCCTTGAGCCCAATCACTCTCGCTGGCAGAGCTGTGATAAACATAAACCTCTATTGGCTGTTTTAAAAAAGGGGGAGGAGCCACACTATACTCCGCCCTCTCTTCATGTCTCAGTTAACATGACGTCAAACAATGAATAAAAGATATTATGCTAGTGATCTTGATTGGAGTCTGAATTTTTATTAGCGTGATGTACTTTGTCTTCATTGCTCATCACTAAAAAAAAGTCTTCAGACAAGAATAGACAGCTTTTCTCCAGCTCTCCTGCCAAAACAAATCTCTCTCATCGTGATTTATAACTCACAATAACTCATTTTGCTTGCCTATTACATTTTTTACATCTAGATCTTGCAAAAGACGAAGCAAAATAATTGGTCTGTAATTGCTCTTCGACACTGAACTGGTGCCAGTGTGTCCTCGCTGAAATACTCGACTTCTCTGGAAATTTGTTAAAAAATTTCCAGAGAACCTGGAACCTGGAAACCCTGACTACCTGTTAATTAACAGTTTCCGCGTTTTGTGATTCACAAGTGTTTTTCGTTTATTTAGGGTTGTTAATTGCATTATGGGATGTTGATCTTTGCTCTGTTGATTTTTGATGTTGAAAAGATGACTTTTATTGTCATTTTAGCCAATTTAAAATAATATAATATTAGATTAATAAAATATAGAGAAATAAGTCTGTAAAGTGCAACATAGGCTCATTCTGACATTGTAGCCCTATATACATTTCTGGAGATCGCGAATTATGTAGCCAGAGGTATGTATGGCTGCATTTCATCTTAAAATGAACACTATGAGGCGGTATGACGCCGTTCCTTACCTCGCTGCGTACGTCGGAGGACTTGAGACACAGAGAGGAGTTGACCACGATGATTGGGGTTGAGTCTGGCGAACAACAGTTCCTGAAAACGTGGTAAAATTCAGGCTGCCTTGAGGGCTGTTCTTTTTTTGGATTGCTTTTGAAAACACTGTCGGTTGGGTTTAGGAAAGTGGGTGGATGGGTCATTCGGTGCTTCTGAAAACATTGTCGGTTTGGTTTAGGGAAGTCAGTGGGTCGGTCAATTTGTGCTTTTGAAAACACTGTCAGTTGGGTTTAGGGAAGTGGGTGGGTGGCCGGTTCATTCGGTGCTTCTGAAAACACTATCGGTTTGGTTTAGAGAAGTGGGTGGGCGGGTCATTCGATGCTTCTGAAAACACTATCGTTTGGTTGAGGGAAGTAGGTGGGTGGGTCATTCGATGCTTCTGAAAACACTATCGTTTGGTTTAGGGAAGTGGGTGGGCAGGTCAATATGTGCTTCTGAAAACACTATCGTTTGGTTTAGGGAAGTGGGTGGGTGGGTCAATCGGTGCTTCTGAAAACACTGTCGATTGGGTTTAGGGAAATGGGTGGGTGGGTCATTTGGTGCTTCTGAAAACACTATCGGTTTGGTTTAGGGAAGGAGGAGGGCGGGTCATTTGGTGCTTCTGAAAACACTATCGGTTGGGTTTAGGGAAGGAGGAGGGTCGGTCAGTTGATCTACACGAGAAGAGCAGGCACAAATGGCACTCGCAAGAGAAATTTGAGATCTCAATAAGTGTACCCTGCAGCCTCTGGTGGATTTGCAAAAACTGCAAAAATAAGCAGAAAAAATAACAGAAAAAGTACTGGCAGTTTACTACCAGGATTTGTACCGTAATTTACAACATCAACCCAGACACTAATATATCACTTTAAATGAATCAAAATGTCAATAAAAGTCACTCTTTTCCAAATTTTTAATAATACAATTTGTTGGAGAAAAGATCAAAGTGCCATAATGCAATACAAAAGCATAAATAAATGAAAAAAAAAGCCACAAAATATGAAAAACTGCAAATTTACAGATATTTTTTTATCTTTATACTATCAAGTATCTTTAAGCTGTATAGAAGTGTCTTGAAAAATATCTAGTAAAATATTATTTACCGTCATCATGTCAAAGATAAAATAAGTCAGTTAACAGAAATGAGTTATTAAAACTATTATGTTTAAAAATGTGTTGAAAAAATCTTCCCTCCAATAAACAGAAACTGGGGAAAAAAATAAACGGGGCTAATTCAGGGGGTTTAATAATTCTGACTTCGACTGTACATATGAACTAAATTTTACGAGTAGTATAAGCTACTTGATAGTGTACTGGTATAATAACACTTTTAAGCACTTGACTTGAATTGATATCACTATTTATTCTGAATACATAAAGTAGCCTATATAAAGTGTACATAATGAAATTAACTTGAAGTAGGCTACTTACATCACTTAATGCAGTATACTTGTATAAACTAAATGTGGGCCAATTAAGTCAGGTATATATACAAGTTGATAGTGTACTAACAACTAAGTAAATTAAGTACACTTTCAAGTATACTACCTGTTAATTGATATCCGAATTTATTCTTAATACATAAAGTAGCACATACTTAACGTGTACTTAATTAATATGAAATTAGAGAAGGCTACTTATTTTTGTGGGGATACATGTCAGAATGTTTACGATTAGCCTATATGCTAATTGCTCATGTTTACACCAAATCTATTAGCCGTCCCAATTTGGCAAACGTAAATAATTAAGCCAGACTTACTTTTAAATCCAGCTGCTCGGTCAGCTCTCTCTCTCTCTCTCTCTCTCTCTCTCTCTCTCTCTCTCTCTCTCTCTCTCTCTCTCTCTCTCTCTCTCTCTCTCTCTCTCTCTCTCTCTCTCTCTCTCTCTCCCCTGCTGTAAGTGAATGGGGAGGAGCGCAGTGCGAAATCCTCGCAGTGTATAAGAAGTGCGGTTCTCACAAGCAGGGATTTTACACAGCAACTCAGGACGAACGAAATGAGCTGCCCCAGAGCCGCTACAAAATGCTGGATGGACACCTTCTCCTGGGATGGTTATCATTTACCATTATAGTGCATCTGATCAGCCTGCCCGGACCGAGCACGGCTTACTTCGGGTAGGCAGGACAATTCTTTCTTAAGCTCTTTCCTAATGCTTTTTCTCATGTATGAATAGACAAAAACAGAGATGTGATATAATGCATCAACATCATGAACGAAAGAGCTCCTTACTGGTGTTGAGAAATACTGTTTAGTAATTGTTTGTTCACAAACAACCTGTTGCGTTTCAGAGTGATGTTCTCATTAATGTTTGCATGATGTTGCTTGCAGATTTATTAAACAGCACTAAACTATATCACATCAGATCGTCGTTTATCATTCAGTGCTGCGCTTTGAATGGCAGGTACAAGCCGGTCAGGTTGGTCCTTTTAATAGATGCTTGTAGAGGAATGAAAAACATCAGACACGAGCAAGCTCTCAACAGCTGTTAACAATAAAGCTACGAGGATCTCTAACCTGGTGGCCAAAACGTCTGTTCAGATCGCAGATAATATTTCTTCATCCAGCATAAACACTCGTTTTTTTTTTTCTTTTTTTGGCACCCCCGCTTTGCTCGCTCGCTAAGCTTAACAAGCGCAAGTTCAAGAATGTTGAGTTGAATTTACAGTTCCCCCTGTAAACATTCCCCTAGCATAATTTTAATTGAGGTAATTGTGATACCGCGGGAACGCCTTTGGAATGTGTTCCTCTTATGACGCGTGCATTTCTGCTTATTGATATTCTTCCATTACGCGCCTTTCAGCGGTCACACCAGAACTTCATGTTTCGAGAGAAACATGTGTTTAACTTTCAATCATCGTCTTTGAGCTATTGTCACTTGTATCAACAAGTTTGAAACCAGGTTTGGAGTGTAAAAGTGCTTGTGAAACACATATACGAGCAATTCCATGCAAATGTCAACCTTATGAAAAAAAAATGTTTTTACCAAAATATAGAAACTCTTTCTGTTTTTGTGTAGGCTTGTATTTTAGACTACTGTAGAAATACTTTTAAAAAGTGTCAGTGTTTTTAAACAATTGTATTTGATTTACCAAAATCACACAAGTGGGAATTTCGCATGTTACAGTCCATAATGGAGAGATGTCACATCCATAACGAAAGCTTTTTCCTCATAAATGCAACAATGTCGAACAAAATAAATCAGTCATGTTTGTTAGAGAGTCAACTTTTAATCTTCAGATTAGCATTCTTTCTTTTGGGTTGTGCAGTTTAATTGATAGAATTTCAGCCTTATACTGTAAACTCGCTTACTTTTTTCATCACATGCGTAACGCATGCTTATTTCCCTCATTTAAGGACTAAAAGTTGTTTACAGATTGATATTGTTATGATCCCATAGTTCTGTAGTGAGTTGTTTTGAACAATATAATATATAAATTATAATATATATATATATATATATATATATATATATATATATATATATATATATATATATATATATATATATATATATATATATACATATTTAGATAAAGCAGTGGACTAAATGAGTCTAGTTTTGGAACCTGTCCACGGACAGGTGGGCGTTTGACATCATTATTTCTCTAATGATATCATTGTGTCCTTATTTCTCTTGGCCTGAAGTGAGCAGTGATGGAAAATTGTGTGCAAAAAGGTGTGCAACGGAGAGGATATTGTTGGGGCAAATCGAGGGCCAGGGCGGGAGTGGCTCCCTCAGGCCCCATTGAACATTATGAAGCTGTAAACCGGTTTGTTGGGCTGCAGTGGTTGTAGAATCGGGTCCCTCTTAGGAAGTCAATAAATTTAATAAATGCTGGACTGTGTTAGCATGGGTGGGATTGCACTTCATATAAAAATTTACAGCCTCCATTATTTGATCTGAGAGATTTTTATCAATCGGAACTAGCCTCTTAAGAAATATTTGCGCCTTGGTTTTTTGGCACGTTAAACGGAATAAAAAAGATGTCCGATAGTGAGCAATGTCAAGAGGCCGCATCTAATAAACGTCCCGATATTTTTAACATTCAATTACGTTTAACATGCTTGCGTGAGGCCATTGTTTAAAACTATTCCAACTCCGTTTCAACACTTTATTCGGAAATTGCTTGTACTTCCATGTTATCGGGTCATGAAAACAAACTATAGGAAACTCATTAGCGATATATATATTCGCTATGACACTACTGGTGTCCTTTCTTATCTCGAACAATGAGCGTTCACGTCTGAATGCAGATATGGTTGTCGTTTTCCAGATTGCTGACCTCTGTAGTCAATGAGGTGCACGGGCAGCTCTCCAAAACACCAATACAATCGCAAATCAAACCTGCCATTTGAACCTGCCATTTGCGCATGCCAGGGACAGCATGAAATCATTACCGTCTGACACACTTGCTTCATCTAACGTGCAAATAAATACCTTCCATGAGGCGTATGCTGCATCTTCTGGGCACTGATTTACTTAAATAGAGGGTCAATGTTGCATACCCAATTTCCCCAGTGCGGTGGAACATATGTGAAACCTAAACACAGTCTCTGTTTGACCTCGGTCTGCGTCTCCGAGGGTTGGGTGGGATTCCTCGCCTTGCTGAGGCGCTGCTGAAATTGTCATGCTGGCCACAAGAATGCAAAGACTTAGTTTTAACCACCCCGTCCCATCCAGCCTGTTGCGGCAGGTGCCCTGTGTTTGTTTCGACGGCATCTCATTCAACAGGTTGGATCGTTGGGGACAAAAGTGTGGCGGTGGTGGAACAAGGCGATATGGGGGTTGCACGCTTTTTTCGTCTAAGTGCAGAGCTCACCTCAAACTGCCTGAAGGGAGAAGGCAGAAGAGGTTACGTGTTGGGAAAGCATGGGGAAAATAAGACCTGAACATCCATGGAATGAGATTCTTTTGTGCCTGGCTTTGACAAGTTTATGCAGATCTCCAATGGAGGCCAGCCTGGGGTCACATGTGGGGAACTGCTGTCCTAAAAGTATACCTGAATTGAAATAAGGGTAAATATTCACTGATTGTGTGTGTGTGTGTGTGTGTGTGATGCTGGTTATTGTCAGCAAAGTGCCAATGCAATATTTCACCTTGAAATCTTTTGGCAATTAATAGACACACTGATTATTAGGGATGCAACGATTAACCGATTTCACTATTAACCGCGGTTTAATACATCATGGTTAATTAATCGTAAAGGCTTCTCAACATCGGAACAAAACTGCTGCAACTAAACAAAGTTACTCCAACTGTGCACAAGTTTAAAGTTTCGAAGTTGTACACTGACACTAATAACCACGCACACTGGATTAACTGTAGCTATTAACCAAGGGCCGTTCACATATTGTGTCTTTGCACGCACAAGTTCGTCATTTGCAGTAGAGGTGCATGGGTTGCACGCGCATATTAAGATCGACGCGCTCACGATTTCCAGTCGCCCCTAGTTGAAAGAATGCCGCAAATGCACCATGAGTCTCATGACAAGAACTGGACTGATCAGCTTCATATTTATGGAATAAACACATTTCTACTTCAAAGAGAAAAACGTACAATACAATATATTTTTTTAAATTTGTATTTTAATTTATTTTTTCATTGTTTTGTCAATTATTGTCAGTGTAAAATTATTACTTATGTTTAAAAGCGAAATAAAAATTTTTTTAACTTAATTTTAAGTCCAAAGAGAAACTGACTATTGTTTGTTTTTATTATTATTTTGTCATGTATTAATAAATTACCAAACAGCAATAAACAAAACTTCAATATAAGGAGTTTTCATGTGATTTTTTAAACTAGTAGTGTTTTAAAATTAATAAATGCATAATATTTTTCAGAGATGGGTTGTGGTTGGAAGGGGATCAGCTGCATAAAACATATGCTGAATAAGTTGGCGGTTCATTCCACTGTGGCGACCCCAGATTAATAAAGGGACTAAGCCGAAGCGAAAATGAATGAATGAATGAATGAATGCATAATAATTGTGATAACCATGAAAGGCTTCTCAACACCGCATTTCTGCACGGAACAAAACTGCTGCAACTAAACAAAGTTACTCCAACGGTGCGCAAGTTTGAAGTTTCGAGCTTGTACACCAAGACTAATAACCATGTGACCATGTTTACTGTGGCTGAGGTTATTAACCAAGGGCTGTTCACATATTGTGTCTTTGCACGCACAAGTTCGTCATTTGCAGTAGAGGTGCATGGGTTGCACGCGCATATTAAGATCGACGCGCTCACGATTTCCAGTCGCCCCTAGTTGAAAGAATGCCGCGAAGGCACCATGAGTCTCATGACAAGAACTGGACTGATCAGCTTCATATTTATGGAATAAACACATTTCTTCTTCAAAGAGAAAAACGTACAATACAATATATATATTTTTTAATTCGAATTTTTTTTTCATTGTTCTGTCAATTATTGTCAGTGTAAAATTATTACTTATGTTTAAACATGTTAAAACTTTTTTTAACTTAATTTTAAGTCCAAAGAGAAATGGACTATTGTTTGTTTTTATTATTATTTTGTGATGTATTACTAAGTTACTAAGCAGCAATAAACAAAACTTTAATATAAGGAGTTTTCATGTGATTTTTTAAACTAGTAGCGTTTTAAAATTAATAAATGCATAATATTTTTTAGAGATGGGTTGCGGCTGGATGGGGATCCGCTGCGTAAAACGTGTTGAATAAGTTGGCGGTTCATTCCACTGTGGCGACCCCAGATTAATAAAGGGACTAAGCCGAAGCGAAAATGAATGAATGAATGAATGAATGAATGCAAGATAACCGTGAAACCAAGATTATTTTTCAGACTATAATTGTACAACCAATATCTAAAATCGTTGCATCCCTACTGATGATATCCTTGAAAACTGTACTCATAATATACTTATCAGTTGATACGGCAAATGTGTCAAGTATCTTTCTAGAGTTGATGGTTTAGCAGTTTAGTCAGTGTTACTGTGACTTAAAGGGGACATATTATGCAAAAATCACCTTTATAAGGGGTTTAAACACAGTTGTGTGGCTGCAGTCTGTGAATATAACCAGCTTCTAATGGTAGAAATGTATTAATTAAATTTTTATAATCACACTTGATAAGCAGA